GTGTGTGTGTGTGTGTGTGTGTGTGTGTGTGTGTGTGTGTGTGTGTTTAAAGAAAGCTAAGGTTTATTGGCACTACATGAGGACTAGGAGCCGCCCCACAAACCAGGAGCCCAATGTCCAAAATATAGTTTTGTTTAGATAAATATGACGATAATATTTAGGCTGGATTAGGTGAATATTTAGGCCCAGCTGTTAAGCCAGAGTGCGTAAAATTGCAATAAAATGAAGAAAGGTAGTTACCTCCTAAGGGGAAATTCAATCCCGCAACAGTTATGCCAATATATTCATTTGAACATTCACCAAATCTTTAGGTCTGAAAACACCCGCTTTAGGTCTGAATATAGTGACCCAAATTCAAGGAGATGAGGACAAACATTTGTATGACAGGTTGATTAAATATGAATGCTAAATGAAATCATTAAACTATTTCAACTTTCAAAGCAAACGGTGCATCAAAAAGCGAACAAATATTAGAACATGATCGTACTAGTTAGAATCACCATTCACAAATGTTACTGAGTCGTCTTTCTTAACAAAACGATTTTAAAAAATGAAAGGAAGTATGACCTTTTAACCTCCATTTCACTCAAAATGAAAAAGCAGAAGAATTCAAACCAAATTGATTAAAGCCGACGAATTTGTCAGCACTATTCAAAGACAATGAAATAGTAGAAGCCACTTTGTAGGTAATGACCACAAAAGTGCACAAACAGAAAAACTATATGGTCATAGAGGCATGTGAGAATTCACCTTGTTCTCATTATTTACACCTCGTATCTAGCTGTAAGATGTCGTCAAACTTCTCTCGACTATTTGTTCATGTGCTCCAGTTTACGTACAACTAGAGTCATGATAGGGAGGTAAACAAATTCAGTCGCCTCTCTCTCATGTCCTTCTCACATCCAACGGAGCACATGACAGGTATAATTCGAATTTACAGCCAATATGAGTGACTATTCGAAATGGTGCTATACACACGCACACACACACACCTAGGAAACGTCGTTTTCACGCACCATGACACGTAATAATTTGTCAAAAAAAGAAAATTCATATAAAACTGTGAAGCGTGGCAGTCGGTGTAAGCAAAAGACCTAAAAATTGCTTTGATCATCATTTGAAGAGATATGCCAAATTTCACAGGCATTTAGGTGAAACAGTAAACAGTGAGAAAAGAAGGTAATATGTACCCAGCAGTACGATGGAAAAGTGCAGAGAGAAGAAAAACAAACACTGATTCATGCTTTATGAGAAACTGAAATACGAACACACCTTAGTGACCCAATATGCGACCATTGCAAAGAGTACAAAGGAGGCTGACCGGGTAAAAGGTTATGTACTTCCACAGCTCCAACATAGAAACAAGAAGGCTCAAACCTACCCAGGTGTGTGAACTAATGGTTCACAACTATGTACTACCCAAAAATTGATCATGCATAAGAAAGGCTTAAATAGTAGAAATAACCATGGGTAACGATGCACACGCAATATACATAGAAGTAGCCAATAGCTCGAAATAAAAACAATGATTTTGCGGGTTGTGAGTTCAATGTACACTGATTGATAGACCTTACTACCCGAGGAAGCGAATTTCTCATTGAACTCCTTAAAACCGGATAAGGGAGATTTTGTGTGCTGCACTTCTCAAGACAATCATTGAACAAATCTTCCCTCCTTCAAGGAGTTTTCAAACTTATTTTGCTAAATCACATGAATGCCAAGATCATTTTTTGAATCTTGTTTGGTGTTTTGCGTTGGATCCTTCACCGGAATATAAGATTGGGTACTGGAGAAAAACCCGAAAGGTCGTAAGTTGAGAAAGTCATGCATAACACAATTCAAGATGGGTTTATAAATATAAAATTTGGACTCACATGAAACAGTATAAAAGAGAGGAAAGTTGAATATCGGGAAAATGTAATAGCTCATGTGTCCCCATTAGGCGTGAGAAACAAGTGCAAATGTATACAAAGAAATAGGCACACACAAGGTGTCATAACTTTTCCCAATTTTATTAGTCACGTGACCATCAGAATACGCAAAAGGAAAGAAGTAATGCATCGATATATTTAGTGAATTCTATTAAGACAGACATAAAATCAGAGAGATAATTTGAATTCTTAAAACACGGTTGATTAATTATGTAAGGTATGAATACAAAAGTAGATCATTAACACGATACCTCGCTCAACAATCGAGATATACGTACGAAGACTCACTAGTAAACTGAAAAAAGAACAAAGTCTGAGCCGAAACTGATTGGGAAGATACTACTCACTAACCAAAAATGGTAACTGATTTCAATCACAAAATGAAGTTATTCCAAATTCTAATACACTCTCGATGTTAACAACAATCTTAGATGAAACTGCACAACTAAGATAGTGCTTATCACAAATAATTACGCAAAAAGATCCCAACGATTTACCCCTAATATATCATTATCGAATAACCTATTAATAAGTTCGAATTACTAAGGCGTGAAAAAAGCTCAACACTCATAAAATGCAAGCCATCTGAATCTAAAGATATACACTCAGAAAGGGCATACTGATAAGAAAAAAAACGGAGGGATAGATTGGAATTTAATGAAAGGGTAATGACATATCAATAAGGAGGAATACTCACAGTCAACTTCTCCGCCACTTATTTGTAGCTCTTCAGTGAGGAGTTCCAAACGCTGAATAATGCTCTGCACAAGATCCTTTCGGAAGGCCTGTAGGTAAAAAAACTCCGGATTAGCCGTCAATATACTGAGTGCACAATAAGAGAAAACGTTAATGCACTAAATTATCGTCTAATTCCCCCACTCATATTAAATTACAAATATAATAGAAACCAAAAGAGTGGAAATTACCATTAGAGCATCTCCAACAGTAGTACCATCGACAGGGAGAAAAGCGAGACCCGGAATCCGTCCGTGGATGGTGAGGTTCTTATAACCCTCTGGTCGTGGTGATGTAATCTCCACTGGAGTCGTAAATGCGTCGGAGGCATGTCCTGAATCAATTGATGAGGAGGAATTTGTCCGCCGCCACGATGGGAACTATAGGACGGTGAATTTTTAGATGAACGCTTTCAAATGAGTTAGAGGCGAATGGTAAGCTTATATTATATATCTATTTACTAATAGCAACACACCAAACACCTCTTAAATAGAGGGATTATAGAAACGATGTAAACTTCTTGCACAATTCAAAGAATTAGAACTGATCTTCGAGGCATATTGAATGGAAAACTTAAGTGAAAATGGCAATCAAAAAGCACCTAATTACAACAAATATTTTAGCTCAAGCTTGAAAGGCGCAGAGACCTCAAAACTCAATTGTTGCTTTCCTAGAATAAAATAATACGATAAATGGAAAGGTAGGGATGCATCAATAAATTAGATAGAAAAATTCAAGATTATTATAGAAAAGACCCGAACGACTGCTTAATAAGTGTTCTTAAACGGACTTATAAGTGAAAAGCGGGAACGCAGAATACTTCTCCCCAAATCCTACATTAGCTGTGAACTTGAGCATATAATGATTTGTCACCTTACTCTCAACAGTTGTTTTCTTCACGAACTCTACCGCATATTACATTGTGACACGTGGAGACTAACATTAATTAAAATCGAGGCGAGTATCTAGTAAATAATAACTTTCCTTGTTTACTGCAGTCAAATCCACGAAGAAAGCAACAAATATTCTCATTAATAGAAGCTTGAGAAGGAAAATTTCTAAAGAAATTGATGAGGCCTAAATGTGTGAAAGTCATTCCTAACACACGTGCAGCACCATTCGACTTGAAATAACAAAACCACGCATCGAAATATAGGAATAAGTGCGCGCGAAAAAAAACTCACATCGGAACTAAAGAGGGTGAAGTTTGTAGAATCCCAAGGAGATGAACTCGAGTCGTCCGTGGAAGGAGGTTCAATCTCACGTAAATGTCGATGCCTTTTAGAATGACGAGCAGGTTTGCCAACAGTTTTCTTGGAAAAAACAGGATCTGAATCATCTTTCAGGTCACCATTAAGGAGAATCCGTGTCTTAGAAGTTATCGTTTCCAAAAAGGGAGACACAGCTTCATGTAATTCAGCGAAAATCGTTTCCTTTTGTCGCTCAGCAGGGAGGTAGGTATCTATAGTCAGGTTGATATGAGTCTTAATTGCCCTCCATCGATCCACGACTGGACGAACCTTGACATCAACTGGTCGTAGGAAATCTTTGGGATGATCAAAACCAATAGCTTTGGCAGTTAACGTCTTTGTGGCAGGATCCACGTGGAGGAAGACCTTATCCCCAACCGTTAATGGGATATATTTCTCCACTATTGGGTTCTTTTCATCCTGATGAAGAGCGTGTAATATTTCCTTCACTCTTGAACCGGATTTGCTAAGGTTTAATGGACCGCAGTAATAAAATCCCGATACTCGAGAACCAGCAGGGAGCATTTGGCAAACCTTTTGACACTCATTTCTTAAACACGAAGTGTCAATAGTATTTATATCATTTGATTCTTTCGCACTTGAAGCGAGAAGAAGAAATACGCATTCATCTTCCTTAGAAGACTATAAATAAATGGATCGTTAAAACAGCACGAAACATACCCCACTGACAATTAGACCATGGACTGTGGATTTCTGAGATAAACACCGATCATAAAATTTTTGTTCGATTGAAAGCGTCTTTATCATTTGGAAACTAAAGGTATAGAATAAACAAATTACGTTTTGGCGACAAGTGGTTAAGAGCCATCACAAAACACTCAGAAAGTTCATAAGATTACATTGACCGGAAGTAAGCACATTGCATAAAATAGATAAAAAAAGTCATACGGTAATACAAAAGATGAAGTTTAGTAAAAAGAAATTCATTATCAAAATCTTAACTGACGCTGAGGTAATCCACGTATTAAGCGACCTAAAGGCAACAGTACTTCAACCAATAAATACAGGGCCTTGATCTCAATTTATGATGAAACTTTGAATATACCTCTGGTGCATTTTAAGAAGGTATTTACATCAAACTTCACGTTTTAACTTTTTGACTTCATATATAAATTCGATATATTTGCAAATATCATTTTTTAAGAACTTTTAAATTAGTGGGATGAATATAGTTTTAGCCTGTGGTAAATCAGATTCAAAAATAATCTACTTCTGTTGAGCTTATGAAACCAATATTAATGCTTTTGTATATTGAAAGCATTTAAAGCAAGCTATATTTTAGCTGATGGACAATTTTGTGAAATAGAATCAATTGAATTAATTCAAATTCTTCACGTACTTAAATATTTCTCGATCGTGAGGCTACTCAAGTTTTAAATTTAAATGTGAAAATTTTGTTACAGCTACCGATTTATTATCAATCTAAGTTGATAACTCTCCTTTAAAACTTCATTAGCATTTATGATGTCTCGGACACCCCCATTTTTATAAGGCTATATAAGTCTTTTAAAAATTTATTATGTACTTTTAGGTTGCTTTGCAGATGTAGTGGTGGTCTTAATTCAAGTGCAGTAGTATTTCTTGATTTTCTAATCACTTCATTGTTTGCTATTAATCCCATCTAGTTAGAGATCGAAACTCTTTTGGAGACCAGAAACGATGCCGTTGACTGCTTTATCAATTTCCATTAAGTCAAACCAAGACATGCTTGGGGTCTTGTTTATAGTTTCATAGCCATAGATTTAGATTTTCTTTCTAGTTCTAAGTATTAAATGATGAGTATAAGTTAGCTTTAGAGTAAAATAACATTTGAGTCTTTTATTAACAGTTCATATCCACTTCATTGAAGATTGATTACGAGTACACTTTACACTTCATTTTAAAGATAATTTCATTGTAATTGGGAGAGCTTCATGTAGGTTGCAATATAGTACTTCTTTTATTTTTATTAAGTATGTTACTGTGAACATTAAGATGAGTGAAAATTATTAAATCTCTGCTTGGTTTTACCAAATTTGTGACTTACTGCTTTGTTACTGCAGTATCGACACGAATTGAATTTTGGATAGCGATGCTTATACTAGGAAGTTCTATCTCTTTATCTACTTATGGTACCATGATCAGTATACACCAGAGCGTACCTATCTAGCTACCCTGGAGAATCTGAAACTCGTGGTTGCAAAGCATGGGTCATAGAAAAGCTCAGTATGCCTGATAGGGCAAACCTCTTTCAGGTCAAACTACTTCTTAAACTTGAAACACTCAAAACTGGAGTGAACTTCCTCAAAAAAAGGGATATTGGGCTGTATCAGTTGAAAACGCAGTAAAATATTTTACATAGTTTACTTAGATCCAATTTTTCGTTTTGAAATGCATAAAATTTTGGAAAGCTAAACCGAATACTGAAATGTGTGAAATGACAAAATTGCAAGCGTGGAATATAAGTGTTAATTGTCAAAACTTTTGGGAATTGTATCGTTAGCTTGCTGCAAAAGAAGCCAGAAGATTTCTTTACGATGTTTGAAGTCTTCCAGTTGGCTCGCGATTTTCAAGTACTCAGCTTGTGGTATGCAATGTCTACTGATAGAAAAGTTCAATTCAGTAAGTTAGTAATTACTTTGACTAATTAATTAATATATTACTTTAGTCTTTCGTTTTCCTGTTTAAGACATTCCGTCTCATGACACTTGGCGATTAAATCGGCGTTTAGTTCTTGTATTCTTTGTGATAATCTCATCTTTTGCTGCAGAAAAATAAGTGTTAACGTTCACATCAAGTGTTCTTACTGATTTTAATTTATCGATAAGTTTCACATAGGCTCCCTTCGTACTTATTACTTGAGAGTCCTCTTTTTCTTCAATATTCGCTTCCTTTACAGATCGTTAAAGGATAAACACCTTACCTTCTCTGGAATTTGTTCATCATTTGTCATTAATTCTTGTATTGTGCTCTCTAAACTTTTAATTTGCTTTAGTCGAGCAGTCAATTCCTGCTTAACCATTGTAAATTCGCATTTTAATTCAAAATTTTGATTCTCCAATTGATTCACTTTTTGCAAAGCCTCAAGTCTAGATTTCTCCGACTAAAAAACAAGAAGATCTGAATATCAGCCGAAAATATGATAAACTTCCATTTATATAAAAGTTATTATTTTTGTGTAAAACAATAACTGACGGGTTTCATCAATTTTTTTCAAAGCAATTTCATCATTTAGATAGTTATTGATAGCGAGGAGTGCTGAAAAATCTCCGAAGTAACATTTCAACTTTTACAGACTCACCAATTATGTGAATTCCAATATAACAGAACATAGCCTAATGACCTTAATTTTCATGGTTTATTATTGGCAGATTTAGCCAACCCGCTTTCTCTATTTTCACCCTTATCACTTTTAATTGTGACCAAGGTGCAATGGGAAAAGTGTAAGAACACAATATCTGCCTTGGTTCTTTCATAATTTTATCAATTCAGCTCGATTATATGTATAATGATAAGAAAAGATTCTTGTTTAGTCACCTCAGATAGCGTCATTGTTAGTTTCTTACATTGAGCACTTAACTCTTTCAGATTTAGCTGAGCACGTTCAAGCTGGGTCAATATATGAACAGAGCGACATTTTGATGCCTCTGTGGTATCCTTGATGCGCTTCTGAAGATCCCACTCTCTTATGGCGAACTCTTGCTCACACTGCTGATAGTGAGCTTCCGACTCCTCATATCTAGTAGTTGCCAGCTTCATTTTATTGGTCAGGTCTAAAATAAAATATGGATTTGAGCAATTATGCATGTACGCATTACGCAAATATGAATAGGTGTGCATTTGACAATGCAACGAGGCAACAACCTTAAAATACTGATTAGTGGTAATCTTACACTAGATATCGAAGGTTTCCCTGCTTCCCCAATGTATTAAATGTCTCACAAAATGGCTTAATAAAACTTTAGTCATATTCCGTGAAAATCTCATTGTACAAAATTGCTCCCGAAATTGGCAAACAGCAAATAGAGCATGTGGCGTGGGATGCGTTTATTGCATAGGAAGACAGAAGCGACTACTGGGCTATCGGTGGACAAAGCCCAATAAACACAATAAACGAATAAAATTGGAACAACGAGAATAGATTTTCAAATAAGCTCTAAGGTCCTGAAATAACAGTTCCACTAATTTAAATTTCTCTTATATCAACATTATTGATTTTTTAAAGTTCATGGGCGTAAATTCGATAAAGTCTTGGAACTAACATACCTTGCACCAGAAATGCTAATTCGTCCCTCTGTTTTTCTACTTCAATTCGTTTTTTCTCAGCCGCCAAACGTGAATCACTCCGTTCAGCTTTTAAATTTCTTACCTCTTCTATTAGACGATTCTGTATACTCAACTTTTCTCTTTCAACGTCAACAACTTTTTGGCTGACAATCTTCAGTTCAGTTTGAGTACAACAAAGATTATTTGCCAGCATTTCCGCCTTCAATTAAAATAATACATTTTAATTAAACTTTCTTACCTCTTCTTGTAGAACCTTGCATTTTTCTTCAAGAATTGCTCTGTCTGATTGCGCTTTGGTTAATGCATCAATCGTTTGAATTAAATCATTCTTCAATTCTGATCTAATAAAATGTTGAATTTACTTAAAGAAGTAAAGCCTACAACTGAGTATCATAAAGACGATTAGACTTTTGTGTTTCATCTAAAATAATATTGCACTGGGCACGTATCTGCGAATTTTCTCGAAATAGATTGAGCAGTGTTTCAGTGTCTGATCCAAGAATAGCGGATAAACGATTTACAACCTCTTGATGAGATTCAGCTATGAATTGACGCTGAAAAATCGCGTAATATAATAATTACGACACTAACATCTGATTCTTGAATTAGGGTGTCTTTGTCATGGAGATTTTGGAAACTTATTTGAAGTTGATTATAGGCGATTTTTAATTTCTCAAGATCTTCCATTGTCCTATTGTGTTCATTCCGTGCAAGTTCCGATTCCTTTAAAACCTTTCTCAACTTCAAGTCATGCTGCCCTTGAAGTTCGCGTTGAAGCTGTACACATTTCGATGAATAATTAATTAATTACATCGCACTTAATTAACTCCAATCGTTCCGGAGTGAGGTTGGTCTTTTGAAGTTCGACGCACAAAAATTCAAGATGCTGTCTTTCTTCTGATTCTCGGTTTAACTTATAATTTAGTAATTGCTTCTCAATCAACCATTCTTTCAGAGCGTCAGAAAATCTTTCTTCTAATGTCGCATATGATTCCTACAACAGAATCGATTTAAAATTAAATGAATGTAGGCAATAGACGTAAACGATATAGTCTCATACTTGCAGTTGAGTGTAGGCAAATTTTAAGTGGGAATAAAATTTTTTAAATTCATTGGCGCTGTTTCTTTCATCTAGTAAGACTTGAGAAGTCTTAATAAAGTCTCCTGAAGGTATATCCTGGGACTTAAAAGCTGTTTTATGATCCGAAAATGAATTTTTACTCTCCTCAACACTTCCTTCCGAAGCAACCCGACTTCTCATTGGAAACTTCAATATGTGCATCGAGTCGTTATTTTGACCTTATACACAGTGTCATGCTTTAAAACAATAAATACTATTAAACTATAAAATTTTATTTATCAAATAATTAATTTTAATACTTAATACGTGTATATATAAGAATATTTGCATGTATTTTGGGCGAGTAGTCTGTCAAGGCCGTCTCGAAGGTTATTATGTGAAGATGGACTACAGCGATAGTTTGGAATTTCTTGAAACAGAACGATATCTTAAAGAAAAACGGATCCCTGATTTATTAAATAACTTAACCAGCATGGTTATTTTTAACCAACCAGGCAATTGGGAAAAGTTTTAACTGATTATCTTTTATCCAGAGAATCCATTTCAGTATATGATTTCTGTCTTGGTAAAGTTAAAAGCAGCTCGAAACGGACAGGGGAATAACCCGTTCATATTTTCAATCTCAAATGCTGAATCAATATTTCATATGCTTGATCCTAACAAGCGAGGTTTCATAACCTTCAAACAATATAAGCATGGTCTCGAAACTTTGGGAATTAATGATTACGATATAATGCCAGTTGGAATAAGTGATGACAAAATCACTAAAGACACCTTCTTATTTGAGGCGTAAGACCTTTCTTATTCCATTAAATCTGCTTTTCCTAAAGGCAAAAAGGGCTGGATTATCTTTCCAGTACGTATGAACTTGTTCAAGGAAATCTAACAGCTCATGTAGAAAATGACACAGAATAATGAAAAGTCAGAAGAAAGTAGTTGCAATAAATCTATTTCATAGACAAACAACAACGTCAGTTCTCTTTTGATGGTCAAATAGCATGCAATCATTTCATATTTGATTTTGTAATTGGAATAGACTCATGGTGCCGCAAAAGCTTCGATTTGTGCGTACGACTAAAAAGAGCAAAGCAACTTATAAAGGTTCTTGACAAAGAATATACGTTAGTGAAGAAACCCCACTCACAGAAAGCAGTGGTTGCAAAACTCCTCATCCATGCATGCTGGGCATATCACAGCAGCTACATTTTCATCACAGAGTGAGCAGTATATCCTATCAAGCGTTGGAGATTTTTCCTCATCTAGGGGTACTCCGTACTTGGCTGCTATCCGTGCTGCATCTTGAGCCTTGGATAGAACAAATAGTATTATTTTAGTGAACTAAAGGGCTGATTAAAAGAGGCTATTTGAAGAATACGAGCAAATTAAAACAGTTTTATTTTGAGTGGTGCAATGATACCAATTTTTTTAGCAAATAATCAGATAACACATTCTCAATTTTACGGTTGCTTATCCGTCAAATTACCTTATATTAAGGGCAAAGCTTAATTAAGAGAGTAAAGCGGAAAAAGGAAAGGCGAAAGGACGATGCTAAAAGGGAAAGACCCTACGTCAAAGTAGCATCGATTTAATAAGATAAATTTTCGAGACGCCCAACCCCCCCCCCCCTTTCCATTCAAGGAAAAAGCTGCGCATAAGTCACAGTGCACAACTGCCTTGTCAGATGTCACGATTTCGATTCTCATTAACACAACCAGTAGACAGAGTGGCCGGCCAGCTGGGTTGATAGTACAATTTGAGTTTCACAATACGAATATTTCACAATGACTACCCAAAAATTGTGCTTTTGCAAAGTGGTTGAGAATTATTATTTTTGTGCATAATAGAATAAGACAACTGATGAACCACACGATTATAACGATACTACAACCTCTGATGCGAGAGAAATTGCATAGCCAATTATTCCGTGCTCTATGGCTAGATGCCGTGAATATCGCTTAAATAGTCCAACGACAATTTCACAGTTCAAGATAGAGGAACTGACTTCCCAGGTTCCTGAGTAAAAGAGTACATAGCATCCATCCTCTCTCAAACTCTAACTAAGAAATGAAAACAGCTTCGAAATAATAATACCAATTACATAAAACACTTGTAAAGCTGATGAGTACCATGATCGCATGTTTAGTACAAGCTACTAGTGAGTGGATAAAATCAAGAGATCGAAGACGATGAGCAGAGGCAAGATGGAGATGAGCGATCCCATAAAAAAGGTAAAGCAGATCAACACCACTAATAGAATAAAAGGAATCAACACCTTACCTCATCAATAATCTTCTTTACCTCGTCCTCACATGGTTTCGTCTTCGGAAGTGACTCTACTGATCGTGTTGAGATGAAATTACCGAGTGCATTCAATCGATCTTGCAGTTCGGATTCGGTGGGTAGGTTTCGACGCTATAATTATTTGAAAGTTAAACGTTGACAACTAGGAAAACGCAAAAGTACCTCGTCTGCAGTTAATGCATCCAAGCGTTGAGTCAATTTCGTTACTAAAATGAGGATAGAAAACCAAGTCGTTAGATTACTGACTTGGAATACAGAATAGGATTATTTCAACGTTCTTTTTCACGCCATACCATCATCAGGGAGAGGCGGTACAGTAACTGAACGGGGAGGTTGGGCTGCAAGTCGTACCGGCGCGGCTGCCGTCCTGTTCTTCAACTCTTCAATCCGTCTGGTGTAATAGAAAAGATAAACATATACTTTAGAGTTATTTAAAAACTTAAAAGCATCCTGAGAGTAATATATTGTGGTCTATGACTCATAAACATGCGTGGCCTATTTGCTATACGATGAATTTTTATTAATTTTCAGCTAAACGAAGACTATTTCCAGACACCTCGACCTATTCATTTAGAGTTGGTCTTTAATCTTGAAAATGTTAATACTTCATGCCAGCTCCTAGGAAAATCACTACTTTTAGTAGGGGGATAACTCAAAGAGTAACTCAGTCAGACACTTAAAAGAGTGTTACATCATTTACGAATGTATAGAAGCTGCCATTACACCGCGATTCTTAAAATATAAGGTAAACCGACATGAGATATTGAAATGTTAGAACAAAGACTAAAATAAAAAGATTGATGAAGTTCATATTTATCCCTGACGAAAGACGCAAGAAACTAAGAGAACTTAAACTATTAGGGGTGTCTGGGCTGTTTTCAAGTAACAGGGAGAGTCGGTAAGCGAGAAGAATTGATTTATTTTAAGGTCGCATAAATAACAGGGATACTGCAAAACCTACGGAGATACCATTGTGACAATAAAACCATGTGTTATTAAAATATAGAATTATAATATCGTCATACAACAAATGGGTGTATACAATAATGGTGTACGAAAGCTACCACAGATTTCCTGATGAAATAAATGTATTAAACCGAACTCACTTAAGGAATAAAATCGGAGGTTCAGTTTCACGAGGATCAGTATCTGGAATATTCCTATGGTGATGACAAATTTGATCTACCAAAATGGCAATAACCTTACTTTGTAGACTTTTCATAGCACTGCAAACAGACTTTGAAAGACTTATCTTTATTAGTGCTGCCGTCCAGAGAAGGAAGGTTGTTACATAGACACTTTCTGCACATGATGAATTTGCACATTGGACAGTAAGACTGCTGCGAACTGAGAGCCAATTTCTTTGCACATTGATGACAGGACATCTTTTGCTATTAAAATTTATTACTTAGCGAAAATAGTGAGCAAGTGAATTAGGTTTTCCGAATAACTGTTAGGGCATATCGAAGCAGTATAAGCACAAAGAATGACAGAAATTGCGCTTAAAACGATAAACCAATCCAACTAATGAATAGAATTAATCCCTGATAAAAATTTAAGTTAGGAATATTAATATCTTTATGTGCTATATGTTAGAGTAGTAATGAAATAAGTACATACTCTTGAATGCATCTATAGAAATAAAAAGAACTGAGCAAGATGAACAATTTTAACATGTAGCCTAATTGGCACTACTTCGCTTTTAAAAAAGTGTAGAACGAAAACAAATTTTATGAATAAATAAACACACTATGAAATTAATACTTTTGATATTGAACAAGAGCACTAAATCATCATTTAGGAAAATAAAGCGATCGTAGTGACCTAGAAATATTCGGAAGTAATAGGTAAGAGGAATATCGAATTTTGCCTCTGGTTTGAAATCATGCTAAATGGATTTCTTGTAAAATGAAATTTCAAAATGTATCTCATAAATCTAAAGATAATTGTATTGCAAAAGGGTTTAAGAGCAGCTATATAAAATAGCTTTACTTTACATATGTGATGGACAAGAATCTTCAAAATGATGTCAAAAATTCGAAATACGTCATAATTTTCATTTAGTCTGATTAGTTGAAGGCTATAGTTAATGAACTCACTTTCCATTTGACTCTATTTTATGCAGGAGTACGCATATATGAATAGAAAACATAAAATTTTGCCTTCAAACGGATTACCTATACCGGAACCGATCATTTAGCTTTCTAGTAATATGCATTTAGTTGTCCAGAGATTTAAGAATGTAATTGAAGCATCTTAAGCAGTTAAAATATTTGTGGTAATTTGATACTGAACATTGGCATCCAATAATCTGATGCAGTGAATTTTTATTAGTAAATAACCCATTTAGATTAATAGGTAGAGAACGTTTTCTTATAGTTAGTTATTCTGTCACCTAGATATTTTTGGAGTAAATGTGGCGGAAAAATATGTTGCCACTATTGTCCTTCTATTGATGGTCTCTCCTAAATACGCAAAGACGGAACAATGTACATATTTAAATAAAATGAAATAAATAAATATAGATAAGTTGCGGTGACATTCGACCTTTCTCTAATAAACAGCATTTTAATAATCTGGTTAATCCTCTATTGTCCAATCAGATATCTGCAATTTGTGGGATACTTAGAGCTTTGGTCATTTATTAAGCTATTACCGTGCACTCAAATTAAGTTAGATTTATTTGATAACCGTTCGCAGTTGCCGATTGGATAATTTGCAATAAACGAGTTCTGTGCAATGCGTCTTTTTCCTCCCTAGCTTAGCTGTAGCTCAGCTAGTTCACGGAGTCTAGACAGATATAGGAGATTCACCAAGAGGGATTCCTGAGTCGGTCAAGGCTTTACTAGTGTAGGAGACCGCTACAAATCAGACTTCCAAATTTAATTTCTGCATTGACTAAATTGATAAGCAAAGTGTATTTTATGTTGAGTCAGCTGTAACCTTTGCAATGGTAATAAAGTGATATCGGAGATGATGCTTATGAAGTTGAAAGCGCTTAACACAAACGCCAAGATACCAATCATACATTTGTTAAATAAATGTAATAATGTTATGCCACTTTAAAAAATTTCGACTGCTAATTGGCTGAGAAGTTTTTACGTACGGGCGTACATCCAATCATGTTCTCTAGTGTACGAGATTAGTTTGGTCAGCCTTAGTAGCTTCGTTGACCCCTCACGTCTTATATTTATGGCTTTCATTCGAAAATGAATTAGGGTAGTCGGCTCAAGTAGAAATATTATGGAAGAGTTTATACTAAATTCAAAGTGGGAAAAGATCTCTTCTGATTATAACTGGCAATTAATTTATACAGAAGTTATACTGCCTGACCGTTATACCTCCATTATTGAAAATCGTGCTAAATTACCAAGCGATCAATAAAGCTGCACAGAATTTCAATCTCGTTCACATCCTTTTAATTTGAACGCGTATTAATGCATTTAATTCATGTTTCAAATTAAAACAGGCCTTTAACCATACATAAGTCATCTCTCTAATTATTTCTAGTTTCATAAAGATATAAATAGAAGGGATATTGACAATCAATTAAAAAAGAACTTGCTTTGAATGCTTCACTGGATTTGCCTCAAAGCACACTCACTTACGTATCAAAACACTTGAAGATATGGTAGCAATGAATTGACATAAATTGGTAACAACTGAAGCCTAAAAGAAGTGTAAAATCTTCATTTCTCTCACTTGCGTATTAAAGTAGATACCAAAGAACGAATCGCCTAAGTAGGAGCAAAAAAGCTCAGTGCGGTCAGTCCTTGGTCATCAGTGTAATAATAACTAAAACACAATACCCTTCATAGATTATCTACTGTGAATAATTAGAGTTGAAAATTAACTATTCGTTGAATAGGCAGATCCAAATACGAATAAGGATTTTTAATTTCAACTAGAATCTAACTCACCACTGAAATTTTGAGGGAAAATCTTAACATATTATTGAATGGCTTAATCATCCACCATCTAAACTCGTGCCAAATTCTAAGAAGGGAGACTGCTGATCAGATACAAACTTGCCATGTTTCTGGATAATGAAAAGCTACATAGGTGAACTTTGTACAGGTGCAAGGAATGTAATCGATCAACCGTACGAACTGCCGTCTTTATGATAAAAATAATTAGAAAATTCACCTCCAAGTTATTACACCTGGATTTAATTAACAAATGATTGATCATCTGCTTTCGATGTGCCAGGATCTAACTGAACATTTTTTATTGCTTCTCGTTAAGCACAAGAATAGACCATGTAAATTGTCTCAGGAAGAATATCGTTTGGCACGATGCACGCGAATATGACAATGGTTCAGTTCAGATGGTCAAATTAAATGAAGCTGAGGTGTTAACTCTAAAGCATATCAACACCAAGTAACAACCCACATCGACTTAAATATATAGGATGAAATAAATACTTTTAAGTGACAAAATAACACGAACATGAGCAAAATTAAAAACAACAAAGATGGATTTCTATCAAACTCATTGCTAAGCATAGAACAAAAAAATTAAATTCTCATAAGCTCCCCATTCAAATGAATTTAAATCTGTTCCGTCCATTAAAAAATACAACACCAGCTCTCAGACCCAGTTGGTAACAAGCGAAATATTTCTAACAGATGACAAAACATATCAAAGCATCCCAGTTCTGATCGGCAAAAATAAAATTGTCCATCACTTGCAGACATGACGAATGATCAGAATAAATACAATTTGACATCAAAATACGCAAATAAAACATCGTAAGAAAAGCTCAGTGACATAAACTCCTAAAAGGTGAAATTTTAATCGGAAATTAACGTGAAAATAAACAGCTCGCCACAATACGGTTAGTCAAAGAAACAATATCGCAAATTTGCATAAACAGCACATTTTCTATCATGAAAAATAAACTAAATATACACCAAAATAGCACGCAATACTACCAAAACGTACAATGAATGTATTGAAAAAAACAGCAATAAAAAATTGTGGCTCAAGTGAAACTGAACTCATTCTACTCAAAAGATATGCCAACTCACCAAGAAGATCAGTGCTAAATGAAATTTTAAGGAGTTAGAAGAAACCTTGACACGAAAACCCTTAAGTATCAAACAACTTCAAAGAAAAAACACAGAAACGATTCATTACAAGTGTGACAGGACATTTAGCATACCAAATTGATGATCGCAGTAACAAAATCCATACAAGTATACGCAATAAGCCACACTTTGTAAAAAAATATACAGAGATAAATGTGCATAATATGAACAAGTATTCAAAAGGAGAGATAGAGAGAAAGGCATCAAGAAAACAAGTTAATCGAGTCGCATGGGTGAAAACGTATCCGGCAGTATTAATTCCCCATTACGATCAACAGGAAAATTGACATCCAAATAGGTACTTCCGTCAGAATCCATTAACTCGAGAAGGTTTTGCCTAAAATAGCAAAATTATTTGAAAAAGAAGTTAAATCCATCATTTGAAGTTTAAAAGATACGCACGCGTGATTGCCCTGCATGAAAGCACAAGGGATACCAATTTGAGTCGAAGTTTCATCCGGAACCATATTCAAGACACGAGCAGAGTTATTCTGATAGTCGTAAGATATGAAAGCGACCGCACCTGCAGCTTGAGCAAAACTGGCTTTTGTAACAAAACTGCAACCACTAAAAGGGGTTTATAACATGTAAGAAAGATGAGAAGCAAATCTTACCCTCTAATGACAAATGCGATTCCGTTCTGGACCTTATTAAAATTTAAAATCCTAGAACAAGCATTTATAGGTACTGTTGGAACTAGTTTCACAAAAATATATGAAACATTCTAAAAGAATGACTATCTTTAAAAAGAAAACGTACAAACTGTGATCCAATACTCGATGTGGAAAGTGGAAAGATGACATGTTCGGTAGAAGTACGAATAACTTTAAGAGCTATAGACTGAACAGAACCACAAGAGTATTGAGACAAAGCTAATATTTATAATTTACTAAATATAAAACCCTTACCTAAGATTAATGTAACGAAAATTAAAAAATGCAGTCGCTTAATGCCATGACTACTCAAATCCATTGAAAATGCAAATTTTACATGAGCACCGCAGTCGTCAAGTTGTAACCTTACTCATCAGCGAAATAAAATAATTCATTTGTACATTTCCGAAATATGATTTCCATATTGGAAGGAATTCTGAAACCTATTATCTCTTAAATATTTAAATTATTAAATCGTAGTCAGTTAATAAATTAATTATATGTTAAACAGAAATAGTGATCAATGACAATTATAGTAAAATTTAACTATTCCTGTAAAAAGCCGTAAAATTTCCGAATATAATTAAATGTATGAAATATCGAAGAAGAAAATAAGCAGCACCTACGGACTTTGACATATATAGGCTCTGTGTATTTCGAGTTTATATTTATACCACAAGCCTATTCTCGAACAATGGTTAAATTCCTGCTGAACTTAAATCGTTTGTTCTGCATAAACAGAAATCAATTTTGACTCCCTCCCCTCCTCCATTACAATTTTCAAGTCAATTTCTATTCACTCTTCTTCCTTTTTCCCACCTCAATTAGACTTGCCCAATGTGCGTTTGGCCCAGCATTACCATGATCTACTTGCAGGAAGAAATTTCTATTTTATGGATGAAAAAGAATATCTGATATTTTTACTCCATCTCTCAAAATGGCAATTTTTCAAATGATCAGTTTTACTTTTCTTGAAGCTACTCTTTTTTTATTGCACATTGTAAATTGACATTAGATATTCCCACGTAATAATCTTTTTAGTTATTTCGGAGAAAAATAATAGAAATTCAGATTGACTAGAAACTCATTAAATGTAAAATGGATTAGGGTGTGCTGTTAACGTTCAAAAATTTACGAAATGTCATGTAGAGATGGTAATTTAAATTATTGATCTCAATATTACAGTTACGAATTATAGTTTAATATTTTCTGTGCATCTAAAATAAAATCACCATTATCAATTCCCGTGAATAAGATTTTAGTTCTTTTATAATCCCAAACTCACATCTGAATTAGTAAAGACCAATCCTCGAAACAATGGTTGATGGAGGAGGCTGTCATTTTTCTTCTACTTCAAATCTATATAAGTCTGATTATTTAACCAACAGAACTAATAAATTAGTAATTAATACTTACTACTGTCTTCCTTTGAGTTTTCGTAGCACTAGTCTTAATAAAATACCTCCAAGAGTTCATAAAATTTGAATTTCTACGATACAAAGTTGCCTGAAAAAATATTCATCCGATGTTGATGAAATGCCGAATTTTATCAAAATTAAACAGAGAAATCTTATGAACAATAGAAAATTCTGGAAAATCCGGCGAGCTGCTGAACAAGAAATGTTCAAGTGCGGTCATGTGTGCAGACGCCTCTCAGACGGTCAACAATATATACTTTCTCCATTATGTAGGGTGCGTTTTAAGTAAAAACAATTGCGGTAGTGACAAACAACTATAACCAACGCTTTCCCCACCTTGTTACTGTTAAGGTATCTTAGATAATTTCGGCATCGATCTCATACTAATTAATTCTGTTAAGGAGATAGCTGTGATAAAGTCATAGGCTATTTATCAGCTATAGATATCTTATTCTTAAACGTAGAAAGAAAATTTTTATAACCTTAAGTAAGCTGCATTACGTCTAGTTCATTTCATGGTTATGACTTTAAATCTAAAACTTCACTAAGAAATGAAAAGGTAATATTGCATATTTCTTAATTTGGTAAATGCTTGTGTGTGGTGTAGAGCTAAATGGAATAAGTTCTTGGGTCAACTACTACAATACCATTTAAGTAAAACGATAATGTTAAGATTTTTAATAACCATTTAACGGGATCCGAAGTGTAGATCATTTAGATTGTTTTATTAATTGCAATTATACTCTAGCATATTTATGTTTGAATGAATAACAATAATGAATAAAAACGATCTGAAAAAGAGAAATAGATTTAAAACATGAAACTAAAGAGGTTTTGGAATGTTTTGTTATTGAAATAAATTATCAGATAGCACATTATTCAATGAATTTAAGAAAGGCACATATCATTTTATAATATTTTTTAGGAGGAACTAATTTATAAACCTCGGTTGATTTTCTTACTTTAAGACAATTAGCTTGTTCCTTTAATGCTAGATATCTATAACAATTTCTTACTCTTTCCTACTATAAGAGCGCCTATCTTGACTTCTCTAAATAGAGCCAATCAGAGCTAAACATAGATAAAATGCGCAATCTTAGGACCGTCGGGTTCACGTGCCAAAATAAAGCAGATGTCCTAGTCAACGACATTTATGTTGACAAATATTCCGGCGATTTATGGATCGCTACGGATTGTGGTCTTTTAAATGCTAAGCATGATGGTGAATCTGAAGTATACTTTAAGGATAAACGCTTTACGAAAATTGCATTCGCCAACCATGCATGCATTTGCTTACTCTCTGGCACTTCCATAATGCTGTTACAGCTGCCTGACCATGTAAGTGCATTGCGGTTTTTTATCAATTTTCTTTAGATTGTGTCCTGCGAAGATTTTGAAGAAAACATCCAGGACTGTGTATTCTCTCCCGATTTATCCGTTGGTGTAATACTCACTGGTAATATTATTTTTTCGACAATATTGTTTAGAAAACTGCAATATATTTCTTATCAGCTCTGAAATTGAAATTGTCACTCAAATTGATCTTTCGTGTCTTAGCAATGAAAAAAGTTAGTTGTCGATTTTTGTTGCCTAATGAAACCTTTAGCAAAATTTGTTAATGTAGGTTGGGGCAAAGAGGAAACGCAATTTAAAGGACGTAAAATAAAAGCTCCTAATGTGGATGAAGAGGAAGGAACAACAGAACCGACGTCTGTAAATATTCTTCCTGGTGAAATAACGTGGCGAGAGGACAGTAAATATTTTGCTGTTTCGTGGACTGATACTAATAGTCCTCAAGCTCATCGTCGGCTTCATATTTTTGACAGCAATGGGACTCTTAATTCGGTTGGATCTGAAACTTCTGAAGTTGAATCCGGTCTCTGTTGGAGGTACTTTGTAGTTTTTAAAATTACCACTTCTTCAGGCCTCGTGTACAATTAATAGCCGCAAGCAAGCGTCTTTCTGGTAGACTTCTCAAAGTTGTTTTCTTCGAGCTTAATGGTCTGCCACATGGAGAAATCGATCTTCTTTATGCTCCAGAATGCGATAAATTCCGTGTAGGGAGAATCGTGTTCGATGCCGAAGAACATATTATGGCTGTGCTTTTTCTTCCTCTTGAATCATCGGTTCTCCCATTTGGTAAGATTAATATTGCTTATTATATTTCACGCGATTCTGTTTAACCTCATGCCTTATGATTTTGTGGTCTAACCGTCTTTTAAATGAAATTTCGCTTTGAATGAATTATTTGGAATTGGCTCGCTCCTTAAGACTTAATTTAATAGAGGTTTCTCTTACACATTGTGATCAATTTCTTCGAAAACAGACCATTAGATAGTTCAGGTAAACGGATTCATTGTCTATTTTCCTGATTATTCTATAGGTGGTCGCCATTGCTTAATTTGGATCAGTTCTATTCCATTTATTGTTACTTGACAGGGGGGGGGGAGGGGGATAGCTGGGGGCTGCGGGCAATGCGATTATGCGTGAAACAATTACTTCCCCAATTTTTAATTTCATATGTAAAATTCTCTTGCTAGTGCGTCTATATACCACATCCAACTATCATTGGAGCGTAAAAGGGGAGCTTTCTCCTCTTCCAACACCTTTACCCACCTCTCCCATCGGTCGCATTTCCCTTACATTCGGAGGAGGAGGCGATGTTGCTCAGACTTCTACTCTTCATACTGCTGTTTCTCTTGGCAAAAAGGAGGGCAGCTATATCGCTTCCTTTGGGCTTGCCAGTTGTATCGATCGGTCCGCTTGGATTCCAAATTCCACCTCCCCCGATCCGGCCATTTTGGCAAATATAGATGGCAATAGTGTTGGTTTGACGGCCTTCGCTTTCACTAGTATTCCACCTCCCATGGCTGGTTCGACCATCACTTTTCCCTTCACCGTCAGTGCTGTCACTATCTCCCAGCCTAGATTTCCCGATAATGCACACTCTGTTCTTGTTCAGCCTGCTTGCACTTCGGTTGATAAAGCTCCATGGTTCCTTACTCTCAATACCGATTGGAAGAATAAAGCCATTTTGAAATCGGGCGACCAAGTACTAAATCAAGAGAAAGGAATGGCTGCAAAAAATTGTACTCCGACAGTAACTGAATTCTGCGTTCTGAGGTGAGTGGAA